CCAGGCCCTCGAAAGGGCTAACTCCTGGCTTTCCGTTGGGGGCGAGGCCGCCAGCCTGACCTCAGCCCTCTCCCGCCGGAGCCGGAGCCGGAGCGGGAGCCGGGAGGGCCGAGCGCTTATGTAAGCTGGGTGCTTGCGCTGTCAGGGAACTGCTGGTGAGCAGGAGAGAGAGAGAGAGAGAGACAGCACCTCCGCCGGGCACCGTTGGGCACGGCGACCAGAAACGGGGTCTTGTTTGTCTGTCTTGTTGTGTTCAGAAACGCGGGGCCTTGCCCCCTGCCAGGCAGAGTCCTGCCGAGCCCCGTTCCTGGCCCATAGGAACGGGGATTTTGACGCTGGAAGTATTACGCAATTAAAAAAAAAAAAAAAAACAAGGCCTTCTTCTAAAGTAAGCTAAAATGCCTCGTGAGAGCAGTGCGGAGTCGCTTGTTTGACGGCCGGGCGAGTGTCATCATGCTGTGGTAACCTTGGGCGATCTTTTCCCATCAACGAACACGAACGTGTCTTTGCAGGTTACGTAGGATGCCCCAGCAGAGCGCTGCTTATTTAAGTCAGTCTTGTCAGAGAACACAGTTTGCTCGATCCCTTTTGCTTTTCAAAAGAAAAAAAAAGAGGACGCTGTGCCCATGTTTTTCAGCAGTCAGAAAAAGTACTTGATGCCAAGTTTGGTTGTGCAAGGGATGCCTCGGCAGAGGGATTGTAGCAAGTTCAGTTCAGTGAAAAGAGCCACTTTGGAATAAGTCAGAAAAAAAAAAAAAAAAAAAAGGAAAAAAACTTGATACATTTTTTTTTTTTATATAAAGCTGAAGTTCACCATACTGATTGGTGAAAGCCATAGATGAGCCTCCCGTGTTTGATTGAGACAAGGTTTCAGAACTATGTAGCCCTGACTGACCTGGAACTCAAGTCGGCCTGCCTCGGCCTCCCAAAATGCTGGGACTAAAGGTGTGTGACAACGCTCAGGGCCGGGATTGTTGGGCTTGTTGTCGTTTGTCTATTTGGAGTTGCTGTTGTTGTTTGGTTGGGGTTTTTTTTGGTTTGGTTTGGTTTTGGCTTTGGCTTTTCGTGACAGGGTTTCTCAGTGTATCCTTGGCTGTCCTGGAACTCACTCTGTAGACCAGACTGGCCTTGAACTCACAGAGATCCTCTGCCTCCCGAGTGCTGGGATTAAAGGCGTGCCACCACTGGCCAGATTTAGGGTTGCTGTTTTGATCATATTGCTGAATAAAAATGAGTTTGTATATAGTGGTTCTTCCATGTGTAATTCGTATCTTTTTCATTATGTTTTATCTTTTAAATTGATTCTGCCTGTTTCTTCTAGATTAGAGAACGTAGCCATAACATTTTAATACGCTCTGGCTTTGAATACTGATGTTATGGTAGTTTGGGCTCCGCTTAATTTATGAGTACAACACCTGTACCTCCCCATTCCACTTCCTTGCTCCCTTTCATTACATTGTAACCAAGGCTGTCCTGAATTGCCTCAGTCTCTGAAGTTTTAGGGTATCTTTTTTTGTAGTTGGGGGGTGGAACTCTGCCAGTGAGCTGCATCCTGCAGTGGTTGTTCTGGAATCAAAATGAAGTTTAGTAGGAATAACTGCAGCTCAAATGTAGTTTGGTTGTTTAGACTACCTGACCCTCTAGTGAGATGGCTTATTTAAAACCAGAAAGGGAGGGATTTTGATTAAGAATGGCTTCACTTTGTGACATACCTTTTTCAAAATCAACATCTTTTGTGTACGTTGTGGAGGCAAGGTGTGTGCACACACAGGCTAGCTGTCTGCTGTCTGCCTTGCACTTTCACTCTCTACTTTGAATGTTTTGAAAAAGGGTCTCTCTCAGCCTAGAGCTTCTATTATTTGGGGGGTTTCAACCTACCCACCAGTGCTGGAGTTACAGGAATGACTAGTCAAAAGTACCCGTTCTTTTTGCTGCTGGGGATCCGAATTCAGGTCTTATAGCTTGCATAACAGTACTATCAACCACTAAGCCATCTCCCCAGTCCCCATTGTACCTATTCTTGACATGTAGGTTGGGTTTTGTTTCTTTCCTGCCAAGTTTGCCAGGGCTAACTTTCACAACCTTTAACAGTCTGTTGTTTCCTGCTTGATTTCCTAGGTACCTGATTAGGGTCAAGAGGAAGGTGTTGCTTTCTGTTCCTTCCCCTGTATGTCTTATAAAAAGGAGAGTAGGGTATGATGACTATGTGTGCAGTAGGTGGGATTTATCCACCAGACAACTAATGTTGAATGGTTTTTAGAGTAGAAACTATTGTGTGAATATAATGGAAAGTAATTTTAAGAGTGAAATAACCGGTCAGCTGTGGCTCATACCCAGTACTCTGGAGGCAGAGGCAGGCAGATCTCTTGAGTTCCAGGCCAGCCTGGTCCAGGACAGCCAGGGCTACACAGAGAAATCCTACCTTGAAAAACTTAAATGAATAAATAAATAAATGTAAAAGTGGAATTAAGTCGGATAAATTCCATATTATTTAAATTTGCTCTTGTCATCCATGGTATTATTTTGCTTTATTTATTTTGAAATAAGATCTCTAGTATTACAGGCTGTCTGTGAAAGTCAATATAGCTGAGAAAGGCCTTGAACATCCTGATCCTCCTAGCTTTTAACTTGTTGCTTAAAAATTTGAGAGATTACTACCCAACATTAATATAAATTTAAATTTTATTTTAGTTCAATCAACTATGAAATTATAATCATAGATGATGGAAGCCCAGATGGGACAAGAGAAGTTGCCGAACAACTGGAAAAGATCTATGGGCCAGACAGAATTGTAAGTCGAAGAAGACATTCCTTTCTCTGTGGGGGCAAGGGTGGTAAGGAACGAAGTCTGGAAAGATGAGAGGCAGCAGACCCTTTTGGGATCAAAATTATGTATCTGATATGTGGGCCAGTGGTAATTTTACAACAAAAGAGCAGGCTTGGCCTCTGACTTTATGATGGATTCTGCAAATAAATTTTCTTAAAATATTGAAATGTGACACTGTATCGGTAATGGGTATGTTATAGAGCTGATCAGGAAAGAGTTCTTGGGTTTCTGTCTTGTTCACTCCCTTCTCTGGGCCAGCATGTACTTTGTAAACAGTGCTGCCTACAGCTCTGAGCTCATGGGTAGGAAAGTAACTATTAGCTGACAAACAGGAGTGACTTCAGGGCTTGAGGCAGTTACATTTCTTCCTATAGAGTAGGGGGAGTATCCTATAGATAGTTCCTGAATCCCAAAATCCCAAACTTGACACTCTACTAACTGCACCATGAAACCTTTTCTGTAGGAGTCACTTGGGCAGGTACAGAGGCAATTTTATACCAGCTTCATGAATTTGACATTTTTGAAGCAGAGTCAGAGCTTATTAGTAGATATTCTTAATATAATTATTAGATGTTCTTAGGTTACTTTGTAGGAGCTATTCTTAGTATAGATTTTAAGCATGAGGGTGAGACGGGTGTCTGTGCTGGGGAAATCTCTTGCTGTCCTATAAGGACCTGAGTTCAGATCTTTATAACTACATCAGGCAACTCACAGGTACCTGTAACCCCAGCACACAAACACACGTGCACACATGTAAGGAAAGGTACAGCGTAGTTGTGGCTTCACTAACAGTTGCTGTCATGTACAACCATCAAGAACAGCAACAAGCAAGAAACACACTCTAAATGTTCAGGCTGTAGGTAATTGGCAAGTAAAAGAGATTATTCCAACAGGTGTCCTATCTTGAGGAGTCTGAGTCCTGTACCTCAGACTTAGCTTAGATATGATAGAGTAGTAGCTGAGACTGTCTAGTTTTTAACCCCATCAAAGACCTGAGAAAGCAGGAAGTGCAAGCAGACAACTTCCAAAAGGTACGGGAAATGACAGAAGCAGCTGGCTACCTGGACAGTCACCCAAGGTCTCATAGTAATATTGGGGCAACCAACTTTGGCTAAGGCCTAGAATTATGTGACAGACCATTTTCAGAAGCAAGAAGATTCGAAAGATTGGCAAGGTTCAGCAGTCGCTTTTGCTTGTATCCTGCTTGTCCAGTTTGGACATCGTGCCTACTGTCAGCAGTCGAGGCAAGGGCAGTTCTTTGCTGAATAGGCCAGATTTGCCAAGAAGAAAAGAAACTCCAAATGGAGTGTCTCTGATAGCCAACATTCTCTTGGGAAACTAGCTTGGTGCTGCCAGGAGCAGTCGTGTCTCGAGTCAACAGAGTTCTAAATTAGTAAAACATTAAATACCATATTCTGTAGGTCTTTGAAGTGTTTGAAGACGAATTATCCATGTTGAGTGCATTTCTGTGCCTCTAGAGAACCTGACTAACATAGCTAGGAGTGACAATCCTGGTGACTATCCCCTGAGATTGTCAGTGACCTACACAGCTTATAGACTGAAGCCTCACTTAAAAACAAGCAGTCTTTACTCAGATGTACAACATGAGGACAATGATCTCGAAATTGTAAATATCTTGATCAGAGGTAGAACTGTATAATACAAAATGACAAAATATTCTTAAATTGTATCAACAACAGAATATCCTAAGCATATGTAGAAACATACATGCATACAAGATGACTATAATTATACATTAGTCTGCAATAACATTGTAAGCAGAAAGAGGAACATACACAATACAACAAATGTAATTTCAAGTTTGTATAGTATACAAATTATCTTAGGAATACAAAAGTAATTTTACATATGTATCAATATACAAGAATCTACATCAATGTAAATTGTTTATAACTAACAGTTGCTAAAATAGTTTACAAATAGATACACTAATCTACCTATTTTCCCATCCCATCCATTCCCCTTTTCTTTTCCAAAGGAGATTCCTGAGTCTAAACTTCATTATTCCACTCCCAACCCTATTACAACTTATAACCAACCCTTAACAGGTGACAATTATCCATAATTCTTATAAAAAAAAACAAAGGAACCTTCCAACACAACTGTTGGGAGAGAGGGTGCCATTTTCTTAGAATTACTTCCAGCTGTCTTGGGGGCAACAGTTTCTCTATGGGATCCTGTAAAAAACTAAAACAATGGTTAAGTCTCAAGAGGACTAGCTGTAACATTTGTAGTCAGTCTCTGAGTAGCATGTGAGCCTTATCTGAAGTTCTGGCTAGAGTGTTGTAAGGAGGTGAACTGTTTCAGCTAACTAATCTGGAGTTGTCTGGAGCAGTTGTAGTTCAGAACTGATCCTTAAGTGGTGTTTATCAACTCTATGGCATCATCATGAACCGGGTAGAATCATTATTGTTCACCGTGGAAAACTTAAACATTAACATCAAAATGGAAAGTTTAAATTGTTATAGGTATGCATCCAAAGAAAGGTACTGATAAAGACTGTAGAATTCTAGTGAGAAAACATGGTTATGACAATCATAGTCTCTACATTTTTCGTTTTCTTCTGTCCCACAGATGGCTCTTCTGATGTGGGACAGAAACTCTGAATTTTTCTTTTAACAACATGCTTGGATTTAGAAAAGGAGAGAGCCACAGTCCAACTCCAAAGCCAGCTTTGATTTTTAAGTGAGTTGTGACTACAACTATATTGAGAAGTAGGGAGGTACAGATTTTTAGGTGGTGAGATTTTACCCTGCAGATAATATTGGTACCATAAGTCAGATTTTTCTTTGCTTGGTTATTCTTTCTAGATAGCTATCCTTTCTTTAGGCATCTAGATATCCAAGGTCTTTTGACTTCTTGAAGATGGGTATTTCTTTTGAAGATGGGTGTTTCTATTTTCCTACAAAGATAAGAACATAACCGTGCCCTGACCCTTGTAATGTTTCCTTACAACTTGTAGGATTGTCACCTCGGTGAATGAGCTATCATTTATCAAGAGCTTTCTCCTGTTCAAACCTAATCTTGATTAATTTTGATGGGATCCATAGCTTTTCTTGTCCTGTGGAAACAAAAGCGAAACCCCTTCCCCAGCGTAGCACATATCTTGGTTTCCATTCTGAGGTCAACACATAACTTGAAGTACACCAAGTGATTTAACTCAGAAGTTTTTTTCTATTGTCCAATGTCTTTCCACAGCTGTTGTTCCTTTCTCATTAGCATTAAGAAAATAAATTCAAGGTTAATAAGGCATTAAGCAATCTATCTTTGGGGGGTCTTGATTCCCCCTGCGTGCTTATCTCTCAACAACTGCTTGTCCTGTAGGATTATGTGGTATACCTGTAATATGCTTTGTTATAAAATTTTAAAAACTGTTTCATCTTACTAGAGATATATGCTGGAGTGTTGTCAGTTTTAATTTGTGCAGGTATACCCATAATAACCATTACCTCTAAGAGGTGTGTTATAACAAAATCAGCCCTTTGAGAGCTCAGAGCAGTTGCCCATTGAAATCCTGAAAATGTGTCTATTGTATGGTATACATATTTTAATTTTCCAGATTCTGCAAAATAAAACACATCAATTTGCCAAAGTTCATTTCTTTGCATACCTTTAGTGTTATTTCCTGCAGATAAAGGAGTTTGGTTATAGAAGGAACAAGTAGGACATTTTTTTTTAAAGTTTCCTTTTTTAATATTTTATTTATTATGTATACAACATTCTGCTTCCATGTATATCTGCACACTAGAAGAGGGCACCAGATCTCATAACGGATAGTTGTCAGCCATCATGTGGTTTCTGGGAATTGAACTCAGGACATCTGGAAGAGCAGTCAGTGCTCTCAACCTCTGAGCCATCTCTCCTGCCCCAGAACATTTTTTTTTTTCCTATTTCCTTATCTTGTTGCCAAGTGATGGAAAAATTCTTTTTTAAACCTTTACTATTGGCATGGTATTTTTTTATGAAATTCCAAGGCCTCCGGTACACTTCCTAACAATAATCAAGCAATTTCATCATAACCTTGTGCTAGAGGACCTGGCAGACCCGTATGGGATTTGATGTGTGTTATAGATATAGGATGATTCTTATTCCTAATTATTTCCTGTAATTGTATAAATAATGAAGTTAATTCTGTTTCATCAGGAATGGATTCGGCAGTTTCAGTGTGTAGAATAACTCTCTTTGTATTGAGAGTCGGCAACTATATTGAGAGGTTCTGTAAAGTCCATTAGTACCATGCGAATGGCGTACAATTCTGACTTGTACACAGAATTATAAAGGCTTTGAACCACTTTACTTACATTTCTTGATTTATCTCTTGCCTTACCTGATTTGTTTGCATCAATATAGAGAGAAACTGTTCCAAGTGGGACCTGCAGGACAGAGAAAATTCTCCTTCTGAAGCCTTACCACTAAGCTGTCCATGATGGCTTCAACACATACCTTCCTGTATGTGGTGATATACTCTTTTAATCCCAACACTCAAGAGACAGAGGCAAGCAGATCTTATGAGTTGGAAGTCAACCTGTTATACATAACAAGTTCCAGGCAAGCCAAAGATACATAGTCAGACCCTGTCTCAACAAAAAAAAAACCAAAAAAAAAATTGCATTTATAATCACTGTTTCCCTGTAGAACCAGACAATCCACCCTCCCCCTTATAGGATCCCAGGCTGGCCTCTGCCCTCCCAGATGCTGGGATTATAGGTGTGAACCCCGCAACTCTAACTAACACTTATTCGTCATTTTATGGCTATCTTATTGTATTTTTTTTTAAGTTTGAGGGCAATTTTTTAGGGTTTAAAAGGAAGACGAGGGTAGGCAAGCTGTAAGTCTTGGCAGCTGCACAGAGGAGGAAGATGGAGAAAAGGAACCCAGAAGACAGAAAAGCCTGTTGTCAGCAGCCACTGGCAAGAGAGGAGCTTCGGAGGGACTCGGAAAGCCCAAAGTACTTGAGGAATCATGTCTTGTAGATACACTAATGAAGGAGAAAGACAGGAAAGGGGGGCATTGTTGGTGCTTTTCTGAGTTATTCAGAAAAGTGGGAAGAGCTGCACTCACATGGCAGACACATGAGCAAACAAAAACCTTAAATGGAATGCGTTACTGGAGCAGTAGAGAACAAGTTCAGTGTCACTCAAGGAAGGCATGGTTAAGCTGGCAGAGGAAAGTGGTGGCAACAGTATTTTAAGTTCAAGAAAGTGAATATTGACACCCAAAGTTTTGGAAAGCCATAGAATTATTTGTTAAAGGCTCAGTTTCTCTAAAAAGGAATCAGCTAGAGCTCATTAGAAATGGTAGATGTGGCTGAGTGAGGTAGTGCATGCCTTTAATCCCAGCATTTAGGAAACAGGCCAGCCTCATCTATGTAGTGAGTTCCAGGCCACCTAGGGATAGATACACAGTGAGACCTTGTCTCCATTGACACAGCAACACAAATAAGTGTGATAGATGTGAAGACGATTCTATTTCATACGAGAGTGGAACCAGGAAGCGGGGGCAGGGGGAACATATAAAAGTTTACCTGTAGTATTAAAATTAAAATTGTTTTTCCTGTTGCAGGGGCCCTGGGTTCAATTCCTAGCACCCACATGGTTGGTCACAACCTTTCCTAACTCTTGTTCCAAGGACTCCAACACCTTCTTGTTTCCATGGGCACCTGGCATGCACTCGGTACACAGGCATACATGCAGGCAAACACTCATACACATAAAATAAAATTAAAAATCTAAAACTTGGGTTGTGATGGCACATGCCTTTAATCTCAGCACTTGGGAGACACAGGCAGACCAATCTTTGTGAGTTCAAGGCCAGCCTGGTTCTACAAAGCAAGTTCCAGAACTGTTACACAGAGAAACCCTGTCTCGAAAAAAATAAACAAAGATGAAAAAGTTTTGTTGAACTGGCTGGAGTGGTAGCTGCTGTCTTTGCTTTGTTGTTAGAATTAGGTATCCTGAAGTCTGGGCTGGCTCAGACTAGCTGAGCTTGAGTTCCTGACTGTTAGCCCTACCTCCCAAACACTGGTATTGCTGGAGTTACACTGGTATTGCTGGAGTTACACCACAGTACGCTCGTCATGCATATTAAGTTACATCTCCAGCCCCCAAGTACCTTTTTGGTTTTGGGGGCAAGAACATACTCTGCTTCAGGGTCTAATAAAATCAACTAATATTTTAAAATGAGTTTGCATTTATAGTAACAAACTTAAGAAATGATCCCTGAAAGTACTCTTGAGTGTGCATTTATAGGAGTAAAATAAGATTTAAACTATTTTTGTCTTTTTGTGTTGATGTGTTGTTTCTTTTTCTTGCAGCTCCTAAGACCACGGGAGAAAAAGCTCGGCCTTGGTAAGTAGGGGCTTTAGCCCTTTGCTGTTTGTTACCTGCCCTCGTTTCCACCATGTTTTCCCAGTTTGGAAGAAGGCCCAAGTACAGTCAGCTGTGGTGTCCTTTAGTGATCCTTACTGATCTTCATGCCATCCTAGTGGTTTCACTTGAGTTGCCTGTCTCACAGTAAAGACTCACTCAGCGAAACATAGACCCCTGTAATTCTGTCCAAATAGAATGTCTAATACAGGGATTCTAGTTAACAAGGAAACCAGTTGTTCAGAAGCCTGATAAAAAGCTGAGCTACTAGGAGAGGAATGACTGATTACTGAGGAGTAGGAGTCAGGTGGGGAAGCTAGAAGGAGGATTATGGAAGGGCCCAGAAATCTGGTCTGTTTAGAGGGAGTAGAGTGTAGGGGAGGGGCAGAGGCGGCCAACGGAAGCTGCTCAGTTGATGCCGCTGGATGCATGCAGAGAGGGTTACTTAGATGTACACCCCACACACTCACTCTTCACTTGTGCCTCCCAAAACTCTGTTTCCCTATAATGTAGCCTAGATAAAGGAAGAGTCCAGGAATGAGTCTGAGAGTGCACATCTTGGACCAGTATATACTTTGCAAAGTCTTTAAATGGTGATTATTTAGAACATTCTAAAGCAGTGGTTCTTAACTTTCCTAATGCTTTGGCCCTTTAATACAGTTCATGTTGTGGTGACTCCAACCATAAAACCATTTCATTACTACTTCATAATTAATTTTTCTGTTATGAATCATAATGCAAATCTCTGATATACAGGATACCTGATATTCAACTCCTGTTGAAAGGGTTATTTGATACCCCAAGGGGTCGAGACCCATACATGGGTTGAGAACTGCTGTTCTAGGTATTTCAAATGAGCCCAGTGATTCTGAGATGAGACTTGAAATGCCTTCATTTCACAGTTCTTAACAGATGGAAGCTATTATCCTGAGGCTGGAAAGATGGCTCAACAGTTAAAGTACTTGGAACATGCACAAGGACCAGAAATGCTGAGTGTACCTAGAGGCTCACCTGTAAGTCAGCCCAGAAGGAGGAATGAGACTAGCCAGATCAATCAGTGAGCTCTGGGTTTGGTTGAGATACCCTGCCTTAATAAATGAAGTGAAAGGAGGAGTGAGCATGACTTCCAACATCAACTTTGGACCTCCACATGCTTACATGTGCATACCTCATTCCTGCAAAGAGGAAAAACTTGCATATACCCATGCATACATACCTCAAACACACACGGAACAGCAAAGGTTTCTGTCCTGAACAATAAACTTCCTAGAAGCATCAAATGCTTGAACTTCAAAGTCCACAGGATTCTTTGAGGTTAAAAATGATCTGGAAAGGGGCTGGAGAGATGGCTCAGAGGTTAAGAGCACTGACTCCTCTTCCACAGGTCCTGAGTTCAATTCCCAGCAACCACATGGTGGCTCACAACCATCCATTATGAGATCTGGTGCCCTCTTCTGGTGTGCAGATATACATGGAAGCAGAATGTTGTATACATAATAAATAAATAAAATTTAAAAAAAAATTGGAAAATGCCACCAAAAAAGCCACAAAGAGTTGTCGAACAGTTAGTGAAAATATTAGTCAGTCAATTGAAGTTGTTAGGAAAGTGCGGTGCTCTAAGTGAGATGTTTGTGATGTTTTGTTTTTAAAACTTGTTCCTGCTTTCACTGATCCATAGTAACTTTCCACACTGTGGCTGGCACTAGCTTCTGTGCAGTATGCAAGGATCAGATCAAGGGGCTTGGCATTTTTGTCACCTCAGACACATCGTTTACAGTAGTTGGAACGTTGAAAAGCTTCCCTAACCAGGTCTAGTGGTGCACACCTTTAATCTCAGTGCTCAGGAAGTAGATGCAGATGGATCCTGAGGAGTTTGAGGCCAGCCTGGTCTGCATAACAAATTCCAGGCTAGCCAGAGCTAGCTACATGGTGAGACTCTATCTCAACAAAAGGGGAAAAAAACAACAACAACAAAAAAGAAATTCAAAGGGTCTCTGATTTTGAGATGCTCAGTTGGTGTCAGCCATTGCAACCTGACTGCTGTGGATTGTGATAGTGCTCAGGGTAGAGAGTTCAGCAACCCCCATCCTTCTGTACTGTCAACCAAGCCCTGAATGGGAGACTCTGCACGGAGACGGCAAAATAGGATAACTGGGCCCCTGACCACATACTCTATAGGGCCTACTGTACCTGGCAAACTGCAGTTGGCCTTCCGTAGAAAGCTCCATTGGAAACCGACCGCAGGGAGTGCAGGGGAGAGCAGGAGGGGAACTGGCTGGGGAATGAAACTGGGGCCAGCAGGTAATGCCTGGGGCACCGTGAAAGTGCAGGCAGAGTAGGGAGTTAAAGATGGTTAGAATGTACAGTCAGTCCACCTTGTCATCACAGTGGAGAGTCACTGGCAGAGGCAGGAACTCAGCCTTCCCTGGGCATGGGTGGCACACCTGGTGCCATTTCTTGTGCAGTAGCTTGTTAGAGGGCCAGGAATTGGGGGGGGGGGGAACACTGTGAGAATTGGAATGTATCAGGAAGCTGGTGTGTGAATATGGAGCTCTGAGAAACCTGACCTCTTTCTCAAGACGACACTAAAGAGCTAGCATGAAGGTCTGGTGTTTTTGGGGGGTGGGGCATGAGGTCGACCAGGGAACATAAACATATATAGTGATGTTGATATAGTCTGAAACTTTTGAAGCTTGGCATGATAGCTCTTAGCAGTTTGAGGCTGAGGCAAAAGGATCTCCTGGATCCAAAGTCATCCTGAACTACAGAGTGAAACCTGAACTTAAACCACCACCCACCCCACCCTCCAAAAAAGAAAGGAGACTTTTGTATTAGGCATTTTTTTTTTTTTTTGCCAATTTTAAATATAAGGATGATTGGTTTTGTTGTTGTTGTTTTTAATTAAGTTAGCATCAGAATGGAGTATAGGTAGCCACCTACCTTCTTGATGTGTTTGTCATACATGTAAACTGTGCCACTGAATATGGAGAGTTACCAGCTGGGTCACTTAGAGGACAAATGTTTGCTTTTAGAATACAAAATTATTTCTTTTCCTATTTAAATTAAGACCTAAGCATTTTGGGTGGGCTTTTGATGTTTTTGTTTTTCAAATTTTACATATATGAGTGTTTTGCCTACATGTATGTCTATACCATGTACATGAAGTGTCTGCAGGGGCTAGGACAGGGGAGCACATAACCCAAAGCTGGAGTTACTGCCATATCAGTACGGGGACTAAAACCTGGGTCCTCTGGAATAGCAACCAGTGCTCTTAACTACTGAGCAAGATCTCAGCTCCTTGTTGTTTTTGTTAATGACTCTAACTACTTTGATTTTTAGGAACTGCCTATATTCATGGAATAAAACATGCCACAGGAAATTATGTCATCATTATGGATGCTGATCTCTCACACCATGTAAGTGGCCTCCCCACTCTCTGTTCTAGTCTTTGTTGAGATGGTCTTACTCTGTCATCTAGACTGATCTGGAAAGTGTGGGGATCCCCTTGTTTTAGCCTTTGAATGCTAAGATTACAGATCTGCACCACCACACCCAGTTTGCCTTTTTTTTTTTTAATGATTTTTTTAAGATTTTATTTATTTATTATGTATACAGTCTTCTGCCTGCATGCAGCAGAGGGCACCAGATCTCATTCAAGGCAGTTGTGAGCCACAATGTCGTTGCTGGGGATTGAACTCAGGACCTCTGGAAGAACAGTCAGTGCTCTTAACTGCTGAGCCATCTCTCCAGCCCCCCAGTTTGCCTTTCTTGATTAGGTGTTTATGATAGACTTGTCATATGTTCCTGACTTATTGTTTATTCTTTCCAAATTTCAGCCCAAATTTATTCCTGAATTTATCAGGTAGGTACCGTTTCTGGTATTGGGGTGGGGATGGGGGAGCACTGCCTTTTTTTTTTTTTTCCATTATTTGTATTTTATGTATGAGTGCTCTACATATGTACTTGCATAGCAGAAGAGGGCATTAAGTCCTATGATAGATGGTTGTGAGCCACCATGCGGTTGCTGGGAATTAACTCAGGACCTCTGGAAGAGCAGCTCTTAACTGCTGAGTTACTTTCCAGCCTTGTTACTAGTATTTCTAATATTAGAAATTTAAAATTCAGTTTGTTTGTTCACTTAAAATATGCATGCTGCTGTAATTTCTCTGTCAAAATTTAACTGACATAGAGACTTGATACTCATAAATATAGGTCTATGACTACATGACTTACTTTAGGAGATGGTTGTGTCCTCTTTTATTACAGAACATGGAAAAGATGAAGTGCTTGTTGTCTAGAATTAGGCTTGATGTGTTATAGTAAAGACCATAGACAATAGGATTTGGTCCAGGGGTTCTAGGACTCTAGGCATTATGACTCTGCAGTGTAATCCCTCACTACCTTGTTGGTCAGCAGCCACTTAAAAGAGGGAATTAAAGGGAACCATTTCCATGTGGCCCGTAAAGCATGAAAGAAGTCCATCTGTTGTGATCGTAAAGGTGCCTGTCGTCAGTTGAGTCTGTCAAAGTGGAGGCTTTTAGAAAACCAGTCAGATGGTAGACTGGACATGTGCAATGCTACTAAAGGAAGTGAGTCACAGACAGAGCCTCTCTGGGAAGTGATTTTGGGAATACATAAGATTCATGAGGGCCAGAGAGATGGCTCAGCGGTTAAGAGCACTGACTGCTCTTCCAGAGGTCCTGAGTTCAATTCCTGGCAACCACAGGATGGTTCACAACCACTTTGAGTGAGATCTTGTGCCCTCTGCTGGAGTGCAGGCAGAAGACTGTACATAATAAATAAAATCTTTAAAAAAAAAAAAAAAAAAAAGATTCATGAGCTTTGTTGTAGCCATTTTAGTATATTCCATTGCAAAGTCTGAGCAAGCATGCTGACTATCTTCAGACACTTATTCTGACATTGCTGATGTGAGTCTATTGAGGTGAGGAGTGCCTGAAGTGAAAACAGTCACTAGTCAGTCCTCCTCAGCTTTCTATGCTGTGACAAACACCACGACCAAAAGCGATTCGGGGAAGAGAGGGTTTTGTTTGGGGATAGTTTATCACACTGTGTGAAGATGTGTCACTGTGGTTGGTTAATAAAAAGCTGGACAGCCAGTAGCTAGACAGGACTTCCAGTCAGGGAGAGGAAGTCGGGGATGAAGGTAGGTGCAGGAATTTGGCCAGTGAGACAGGCATACAGAATGGAGGAAAGGTGAAGGGCCACATGGCAGAGCGCAGATTAATAGAAACCGGTTCATTTAAGCTGTAGAGCTAGTTGGGAACAAGCCTAAGCGAAAGGCCAAACTTTCATAGTTAATAAGTCTCCATGTCAATATTGAAGAGATGGTGTTCCCAAAAGAAAGTCTGACAACAGAATTTATTTCATCTTGCACTTCCAGGTCACATTTCATCACTGAGAAAAATCAGAATAGGAACTGAAACAGAAGCCATAGAGGAACACTGTTTAACTGGCCTGCTTAGCTTGCTTTCTTATATACTCCAAAACTACCTACCCAGGGATGGCACAAGCCAAAGTAGGCTGGGCCCTTCCACAGCAATCATCAATAAGAAATGCCGCATGGGCTTGTCCATAGACCAGTCTGATTGAGGCATTTTCTTAATTGTGTCAAGTTGACAAAAACCAACCAATACTGTTGCAAACATCTGAGTTGAATAGTCTGGACCATTTTTGCAAGTGTTAAAAATGAATGGGCTTGCTAGGCCAGTAGCACAAGCCTTTAATCCTAGAGCACTAAGAGAGGCAGAGGCAAACTGATCTTTGTGTGTTCAATGCCAGCCTAGTCAATGTAGTATTTTAAGACAGCCAGGGCTACATAGACCCTGTCTCAAAAGGGTGGGGTGGGGTGACAACTATTGGGTACAGTGGCAACATCTGTAATCTCAGCGTTGCTGAAGCAGAGGCAGAAAGAGTGCTATAAATTCAAGCCCAGCCTGGACTATATAGTGAAACCATGTTTTTATTGTTGTTGATGCTGTTATTTTTGTTTGTCCCAGTCTAAGAAAGGGGAAGGTTTCTGTTGACTTATGTGGACATGTATTTAGATTCTAAGTTAATAATTGGAAAAAAAAAAAAAAAAACTCTTAGTGGAAAGATGGAAACAGCAGTCTGGGAGCTGGAAAGATGGCTCAGAGTTTAAGAGCACTGATTGTTCTTCCAGAGGTCCTGAGTTCAATTCCCAGCAACCACATGGTGGCAGTAATGAGATCTGGTGCTCTCTTCTGACCTGCAGGGATACCTGTAGACAGAACCCTGTATGTATAAGGGGAGCAGGGAGAAAAGAGCAAGCAGTCTGGAGATTCCTGGCCTTTCCTGAAGAAGGAGCCTGGACAGTGGAGAAGGGTTTGGGGTCAGCATGTGGTATAGTCAGCAGATAGAATCCCTGGACTCAACTGGGTTGTGGTGGCACATGCTTTTAATTCCAGCACTAGGGAGGCAGAGGCAGGCTGGTAGGCCAGCCTGATCTACAGAGTGAGTTGCAGGACAGCCAAAGCTACACAGAGAAAACCTATCTTGAAAAAGAAAGGGAAAAAAAAAAATCCCTGGGCTCATGCTCCACTATAAGAAAAGTAAATAAAGGGACTAAAGAAATAGCTTAGTGGTCACCAGCACTGGCTGCTCTTCCTTGAAGACCCGGGTTCAATTCCTAGCACCCATGTGGCAGCCCACTACCAGTCTGTAACTCCAGTTCCAAGAGACCCAACACCTTCTTCTGCCCTTTGAGGGTACTGCAAACACATGGTATACTGACATGCAGGCAGAACATCCATACACATAAAACTTAAAAATCTTAATAAAACTCGACAGGCAGGGGCTGTTACACAAAGAAACTCTCAAAAAACTTCAAAAAATTTTTTAAAATTCAAGATCAGCTCAGGTTTGAAAGACTCATTTTGCACAGTTAGGTCATCTGTTTGGCTTCATGCTTTGCCTCTGCTCCCCTTAAAACTTAATTGTGTGGCTTATGAAGATGCCTATTGAAAACCTAAGAGCTTTTTCTAATTGAGTTATCTTTTTTCCACAGGAAACAAAAGGAGGGTAATTTTGACATTGTCTCTGGAACTCGCTACAAAGGAAATGGGGGTGTTTATGGCTGGGATTTGAAAAGAAAGATAATCAGGTACATGTGTGCATGTTATGTGATTTCTCTACAGGGGAGCTACTGGAAATAGATGGAATTCTAGCATTAGATTATCACAGTCAGGGTCTTTGGGTTTGTAGGATCAGGTTATTACTGCCAATAAAACTTTCCAAGAGTTTTCCTTGAGCCATTTGGGGGGAAATCAGCACAAATATTGGAACACTTGTAGCATTGGTCTGCATCAGCAGAGTCACTGTTTTCATTATAGTTTCATATAATACAGTTTTGGAATAGCAACTTTTAAGTCAGACATTTCTTTGTTAAAATTATGTTTCTCACCGGGCATTGGTGGCGCACGCCTTTATTCCCAGCACTCGGGAGGCAGAGGCAGGCAGATCTCTGTGAGTTCGAAGCCAGTCTGGTCTCCAGAGTGAATGCCAGGATAGGCTCCAAAGCTACACAGAGAAACCCTGTCTCAAAAAACCAAAAATATATATATATATGTTTCTCAGTATTGTGTTGCCTTGTATATCTACCTTTTTAAAACTTTACTTTGCTCATCTTAAAGCCAGTATTCTAGTTTTCTGATACTGTTTGACAACCCAAGTTGGGTTCAGTTCCGTGCACTGTGGCTGGTAGGTCCCCTCCACCACCTTCAACTGGTCTTGCTCCTGCAGCTAGCTTCCTTCACACAGGGTTGGCTGAGCTAGTAAGTCACACACCAGGCAGTTTGTGCTGATAGTTGGCTGGGACAACTTAGTTCTGATGGGTGGGTGTGGATGGGTGTGTGTGGGTGGGTGGGTGG